TCATTATAACTATCATTATTTATTATTATTGCTATTATTATTATTATTATTATTATTATTATTACTATTGCTATTATTATTATTATTAATTTAAACCGCACTTCTTTGCTATTCTTAAAATAATTATTATATACCTCTATTATTATTATTTATTCTTTATTATTATTACTGGTGTTGTTATTATTATTATTATTTATATTATTATTATTATTATTATTATAACTATTATTATTGTATCTTTAAACGTATACAGACATGAAAAGCAGATAAAAATATTTAATTTGTTTGTTTTTTTATTTTTTTATTTTATTTTATTTTCTCTCAGCACCTGAAGATAGCACCCTCGCACTTTGGGGTGTATAGGGAGCTGCCTGTCTCCTCTTAGAAGTAGAAATAAAGGAGACAGCTCAGGGCTTGTCTTAGGAATTAAACTGCTGCTTCAGCAGCAGCAGCAGCAGCAGCAGCAGCAGCATGTGCATTTGCATGCGGCAGCAAAGTAAAAGTAAATTAAAAGACAGATAAAGAAGAAAAAGAAAAGAAAGAGTTTATTAAAAGCTGCTGTGGCTGAATCCCACATAGACAAAACAAAAGAAAAACAATATAGAGTTATTATTATTATTATTAACACCTGTACATACACCAGAAAAGAAGACAGCAGCCCCGACTGCATGCAAGCCTTGGGGCTTGTTGTTATCTTTTTTTAAACAACAAACAAATATATTTCTAAGGAAAGACAAAACGCAATCAAAAGAGATGTTCTATTAAATGCTAATCACCCACATATAATATATATATATATAAATATATATATAAATATATATATATTTATATATATATAAATGTATATATGTATATATATACATATATACATTTATATATGCATCTACATATTATATGTATACATATATATATGCATATATATTTTTATTTTATATATATATATATGCATATATATATCTACAAATATATATTGGTCTACATCTATATACACATATATAGATAGATATATTATACAATTAATATTATTTATATAAAGATATGTATATATAATATATTTATATATATACATATGTCTACATCTAAAGACATACATATATACATACATATATATACATATATATATGTATATATATATGTATATATATATATATATTATGCTAGAAATAGAATAAAAGGAGACATTAAAAGATTTTAAAAGGAGACAGTTAAGCTGCTACACAGTTTCTTCAATACTCTCTTTAACGGCTGCGCTGTCTGTACAGCTCAGCTCTTGTGGGGTCGCTGCGTCTTCGTTGCTAAGCTTAGGTAGAGCAGCAGGAGATACCATAGACAGCAGCAAGTCCTGCTCCTTGCTGTTGCTGTTGCTGCTGCTGTTGTTGTTGCTGCTGCTGCTGCTAGTGCTGGTGCTGCCGGTGCTGGTGCTGCTGTTGCTGCTGTTGCTGCTGTTGCTGCTGCTGTCTTTGTTCGGAGACTCTAGAAGGCTGTCTGTCTCTTTGCTGCTGCCGGGTTTGCTGCTGCTGAACGAATCTTCCTCTTCCTTTGCTGCTGCTGCAGCAGGAGCAGCAGCAGGAGCAGCAGGCGCAGCAGCAGCAGCAGGAGCAGCAGGAGGGGGAGCAGCAGCAGCAGGAGCAGCAGCGAGCATTTCCTTGCTGCTAGTTTCTGTTGCTTCAGCTTTTGGGCGAGAGCTGCTGCTGTCTGCATGCAGCCCCAGCCGGAGTTCTTTTGCTGCTGCTCTTCTGCGTTTAAGAGAAGCCCCTCCATTTGCTGCGAATCCAGTGCTGCTGCAGCAGCAGCTGCTGCTGCTGTTGCTGCTGCTGCTGCTGCTGCTTAATACTTGACGTACAGGAACAAGAGCTCCTCTAACTGTAGCAGTTGCATGGATGGTTTCAGCAGCTCCTAGCCCTGCACTTCCTCCCACAGCAGCCCCTTGCTGCTGCTGCTGCTGCTGTTGCTGCTGCTGCTGCTGCTGCTGCTGCTGCTTTTGCTGATATTGACTAACAGCTTTAATTGCTAGTCTCCTTGCCCCATAGAAGCCGAACTTAGAGACAGGAAAAGATCTACACATCCTTGCTCCTGAGCCTAAGCTCCCATAGGCCATCCAGGTGTTGTTGCTGGGTGCATAGCAGACCCCCTTAGGATTACGAAGTGCTGCAGCAAGCTGCTGCATCTCTAATCGAGACAGCGATGCTTCCTGCCCTGCTCCGCTCTCTTCTCCTCCTCCTCCTCCTTCTAAACAACCCATACCTCTGCCTATACCGTGCTGCTGCTGCTGCTGATGATGATGATGCTGCTGATGCAGCTTCGCATTCAGAAACGTTCGAGATAAAGATGATACACCATCTTGAGACGATCCTGCTGCAGCTGCTGCTGCTGCTGCTGCTGCGAGAGCATCTGCACGAGAGTTAAGGTTATTAGCAGATGAATGTGGGGTATTTGAGCTGCTGTTGTTGCTGCCACCAGCCCCTGCAGCAGCAGCAGCAGCTGCTGCAGCAGCAGCAGCTGCTGCTGCTGCTGCGGTAGCAGCGCTGTTGCTGTTTTTGCTGCTGCCGCTGCTGCTGCACCTCTCATCGAAGGATTGTCTAGCAGCTATAGCCATCAGTCTTGCTGCTTCGGCCCCGAATTTTTTATTGCTGAAAGACTTATAATTTTGTCTCCCGTTCTCGCACCAGAACGCTACCCAGCTGTTTCTGTCTTTAGCGAATCGGACGCCCGGCATAGGTGCGGGGTTGCAGCTAGCATTTGAGAAGCAGCCGCAGCTGCTGCTGTTGCTGCTGCTGCTGCTGCTGCTGTTGTTGTTGTTGTTGTTGCTGTTGCTGTTGTTGCTGCTGCTGCTGCTGTTGTTGCTGCTGCTCGACAGCTTAGATCGCTTACGGGGCAAACAAGGAGATTCATCAGCAGCTGCTGGCAGCAAAGAATAACAGTCGCTCTCGCAACCTAATGCCAGCTGCTGCTGCTGCTGCTGCTGTTGCTGCTGCTGCTGCTGGGCGTGGGTCAGCAGCGGCAATGAAGAACGCCAATCTGTCGTAGTACCTGCTGTGCTTGTTGTTGCTGCTGCTGCTGCTGTTGCTGCTGCTGCTAGAGCAGGGCTGTCTCCGTGAGAGCTGCATGCGGCTTCATCAACCCCCCAGGAAGACAGCTGCCTGAGTGCTTTTGCAGTTTGTGCTGCTGCTGTTACTCCTGCTGCTGCTGTTAATCCTGCTGCTGCAGTTGCTCCTGCTGCTGCTGCAGTTGTTCCTGCTGCTGGCTGGGAGAGCAGCTCTAAGAAAGACAGAAGAGAAGGAGACGCACTTAAGTCGTCTTCTGCTCCTGTAAGACAAGCAGCAGGGCTGTCTCCTTGCTGCAGCAGCAAAGAAGCATCAGCGAGTTGCTGCTGAGTCCCTGCTGCTGCTGCAGCAGCAGCAGCACTAGGAGCAGCAGCAGGGGCAGACAAAGCCAAGGGTGCTGCTGCTACATCTGTCTGTCTTGTTTTGTGAAGGAAGACATCTGCAGCACCTCCTAATACCCAAACAATATTTCTTTGTGCTTCTTGAATTTGCTGCTGCACCTGCTGCACCCCCCGCAGCAGCACTTCTAAGCCGTTCGTAAGCTGCTGCAGCGACTTCAACGAAGGGGTCTTGCTGCTGTCTTCTTCTGCTGCTTCGCTGTCTCCGCAGCTAACTTTGAGCCCAGTAGAGACCCTCTCCCCCCCAGTCCCTGCTGCTGCTGCTGCTGCAGCTGCTCCTGCTGCTGCTGCAGCTGCTGCTGCTGGGGGCTGGCAGCGGGAGGCGGTCTCCTTGCGTCTGTCTGCAGCAGCAGCAGCAGCAGCTGCTGCTGCTGCACCTCCCCCTAAAAGAGCAAAGCTAAGAGGGTCTGTAGAAATATCATCTGTGGGGCAGCGAGTAGAGATGCTATCAGTCATAGCTGAGGCCTCTCTTGATGACAGAGAAACAGACACGGGATCCGATCCCGATCCCGATCCCGATCCCGGGGCAGACGATCCCGACCCCACACCTTCCACTGGATCCGAAGAAGACCCAACTCCCTCCTCACGCAGGGAATCTGCTGCTGCTGCTGCTGCTGCTGCTGCTGCTGCAGCTGAAGCTTCTCCTCTCTCTTCTTCTGTCCCCTCATGCAGCGCAGGCCTGAGCAGCAGCAAATCAACTCGAGAACAAAATATACACTGCAGCCGCTGTCTCTTCTTCTCTCTACAAGCAAATACTACAACTGATGTGGGGCTTGTGGGCCGTGCTGCTGCTGCTGCTAGTCCACCTGCTGCTGCTGCTGCTGCTGTTTTGTGCATTTTGCTGCAGCAGCAACAGCAGCAGGTTGAAGTGTACTTACACAGGGGCAGCTAACTTCCATAGATCCCAGGTAGGAGGCGCAGCAGAAGGAGAGCTGCTGCCAGCATCTTGTGGGGGCAGCTGCTGCCGCAGCTGCTGCTCCAGCTGCTGCTGCAGCTGTTGCTGCAGCGGCTGCTGCAGCTGCTGCTGCAGTGCCAGGGCCCAGGCCTTCTCGGGGGCCTCCAAGGAGACAGTCTCCGTCTGCATGGTGCTGTATCAGCTGCGCGGTGTACATACACCCCAAAGGAAACGAAAGACAGGCCTCAGCAGCAGATGCTGCAGCAGCTGCAGGAGCAACAGCAGCAGCAGGAGCAACAGCAGCAGCAACAACAACAGCAAAGAAGCAGCAGCAGCAGCAAGTAGCAAATCAGGATTCAAATGGAGAGACAAATGAACATATAGAGGTCAACGAAGTGCACAGTCGGCAGCAGCAGCTGCTGCAGCAGCAACTGCAGCACAAGGGGGCTGCTGCTAGCTTGATTCAAGCGGTCAATAGAAATAACAGCAGCAAACATATACTATTTTACATTATTATTTGCATTTAAATTAAATTAATGAAGAAAAGAGCCCTTAGCAGCAGCAGCGCCACCGTGCTGACCGGTCGGGCCGCCGCTGGTCTCCTGCTGCTGCTGCTGCTGCAGCAGCAGCAGCAGCAGCAGCAGCAGAAGCAGCAGCAGGATGCTAAAGAGCGTGAAAAAAGGAAAAAGAATTAAAATTAAAGATTAAAATGACTCACTTGACTGAAGAAAAACAAAGAAAACTTTAGAGAAGAGACGTAGTAAGGGGCTGATCGGTAAATGCTTGGGCCCCCTATGGAGGCGTGTAGCTGCGGTGTATGTACAGCAGAGATTAAGAGAGAAAGAAGCAAACAATTAAAAGAATAAAGACCTTAAAAGAAAAAAAACAGTGAAAAACAAAAACAAATATCCATTAAGAGGCCTCATCTCCTGCTGCTCCTGCTGCTCCTGCTCCTGCTGCTGCTGCTGCTGCTGCTGCTGCTGTTGCTGCTGCTGTCCGCTCAACCGGCAGCAGCAACAGCAGCAGACATTTATTTATTTGTTTGTTTGTTTGTTTGAATTCTTTCTTTAAATTAATAAAAGGCTTCTTAGCAATTATAAACAAATTAAAAAAAAGAAATACAAAACATTTCCTTACCCAAACAAATAAAAAAAATCAAACAGAAGGCAGCAGCAGCAGCAGCAGCAGCAACAGCAACAGCAGCAAGGCCTGCAGCAGTTTCTTTTTGTGTCTCCTGCTGCAGCAACTGGTAAATAATAAACCATTTCTGCGAATAAATATATTTATTTATATTCTTGATTTTATTTTAATATTGTTTTCAATGAAAACAACAAAAAAAGTCCCCCTACAACCTACAAAACTGTACAGCAAAAGGAGGTGCCTATACACTCCACTGGGGCCTTACTGTCGGTTGCTGCAGCAGCAGCAAATCTGCATAGCAAGGCCTAAACAAATAGAAAAGGAGGATTAAAATAAATATATTTATTTTTATTGTTCTTTATGTCTTTTAAACACCTTATTAGGAGTTGCTGCACCGATAATCTCATCTGTTTCTATCGCTCGGCTGTCCCCGTCTCTGTCTGTCTCCTTTTGTCTCTCTATTAATATAATATAATACTTTTGCTCCTTTTACCCTCTCCTTTGTTTTAATAATATATTCTGAGGGTTTACGGTGTCTATCCAGCTCCTTTAAGCGTCTCCTAATAGATATAAATAAATAAATAAATAGATAAATAAATATATATATAAATACATATATATATATATATATATATTTATATATATATATATCTGTTTCTTGCTGTACTGTCTCCTTTCTTCTTTTTTCTGTCTCCTTTCTCTTCTTTTGCTGTCCCCTCTTTCTTCGTCTCTGCTTCGTTCTTTGCTCTCCGCCTTACAAATGCAGCGACGCCCTAAACCCTAAACCCTAAACCCTAAACCCTAGCACTAGTCAATAAACGCGGCATCTTAATAAAGGTCTCCAGCCTCAGAAGGAAGCTTATCCTCTAAACCCTAAACCCTAAACCCTAACCCCTCACTTAGCTGTTTCAGAAGTCATCGTCAGCAGCAAGCAACAACTCTACTGTCTCCGCTTAGCTTTGAGAAACACCCCCAAGGGTTTAGGGTTTAGGGTTTAGGGTTTAGGGTTTAGAGAGGGGATGCCCATAGAAAAGAAGCTGTTCTGCTGTATCTTGAGGAGTATAAATAAAAACCCTAATCTTTTTTCTGTCTCCTTTTAATAATCTGTCTCTACGTTTGTTTACTTCAGTATTATTTTTATCTTCTCCCCCCTTTGCTGCAAATAAACCATCACCGCTCACCCCTGCTGCTGCTGCTGCTGCTGCTGCTGCTGCTATTGTTGTTGTTGTTGTTGTTGTTGTTGTTGTTGTTGTTGCTCCTATTGTTGCTCCTGCTGTTGCTCCTGCTGTTGCTGCTGTTGCTGCTGCTGCTGCTGTTGCTGCTGCTTCTCCTGCTGCTGCCAGTTGCTTCCCGCATACCGACTGCAAACGAGAGACGCTGCTGATGCTGCTGCTGTAATTGCTGCTGCTGCTGCTGCTGTCTCTTCTGCTGCTGCTCGGGCGGACTCTTGCTTCACGCGGTGCAGGGCTTGTAGCAGCAACAGTGGCAGCATCTGCAGCAGCTGCAGCAGGAGGGACCGGCTTGTTTGCTGCTGCTGCTGCTGCTGCTGCAGTTGCTGCAGCAAAGGGGTGGGCTTGCTGCTGCTTTTCTCTGTCCCCTCTTTCAACAGTCTCTGAACTGCAGCAGCAGACAGCGGAAAGAAGAAGCCGCACCCTGCATGCGCAAAGCGAAGGCAGCAGCAAAGGATCATCACAAGCAGCAGCAGCAGCAGCACGAGGGCTAGAAGCAGCTGCAGCAGCAGCAACAGTAGCAGCACAAGGCCTAGCAGCAGCAGC